CGAGATTCTTGATTATAAGACTCTTATGTTTCTTTAAGAGTATAGCGTAGGGGAGAAAGATTAGTGAAAAGTAATTTTAACGCACAGTTTGCTAAGGGGTTTTGATAGATACAGGTGAGGTAAGCGATGAGTGTTTTGGGTAGCTATAGTGTGAGCTAGAGGTATCATTTAACTAAGGTGTTAATACCTTTGCTATATTTTTTTTGAACAAAGACCATTTTCACTTCCCTATAGGTTCCTAACTATATCTAATTATAATTCCTTTCATCTCACCCCTCACCCCCTTTGTCATTTACTATACTAGATGATACCCATTTTTGAAAAGAAAATTTTGTTTTTATGAGACTTCGACCAATTTATCAATTTGAACAGGAGCATTTTAAATGGGGTCTAAGTTAAAAAGAAGTTCCTGGGTGGCTCAGATGGTTAAGTGCTGGACTACTAGTGAAAGGTGGATGGTTCAGACCTACCCAGAGGCACCTTGGAAGTAAGGCCTGGCAGTCTGCTTCCAAAAGATCACAGCCTTGAAACCCTATGGGGTCGCCGCCATGAGTCGGAATTGACTTAAAGGCAACTAACAACATAAGTAAATATATATATTTGTGTGTCTGTGTGTGTGTATACGTATATATATAGAGAGACAGAGTCATGCATTGCTTAACGTCCACAGTAAATTCTGTGAAATAGGATGTTATGCTATTTGGACGTTGTGCAAACACCATATCATATACAGTCAGTCCCCAAGTTATGCACCCAGCTGCACTGCTCTTCTGCTTGCCCAGGAGCAGGAGCAGCTCTGAGCCCGCTGGACAAGACCTGAGAGCTGTATCCACTGGATGCAGGAGGCCAGTCATACTAGGTGTGCGGCTGTGGATCACCCTACCTGCACTGCAGCAGGATTGGGACTTTACACATGTCCAGGCACAGGTCAGGTGATGCCTGGTGTGTGTAGGGGAGCTGGAATGGTGGCCACGGGACCAGGCAGGGAGCGGGTGTGCAAGTCCCTTGAGCGGGGCTGGCAGTGGCAACCTTGGCTCCGCTGCTCCTGATTGGGATTTGGGGACTCTAAAACCATTAGGGAGAAATAATAAAAGGAGAGCTGCTTTCTCTTTATTTAAAAAAAAAAAAACTTGTGGAACCGCAGACATACATGCGGTTGGACGTTGCCGCAGTGGACGTTCTGCAGCACATACCTGTATTTATGCATCCCTAATGTCCAATCAGGCAACATCCGATTGCATATATGTATGTCCATGTGCAGGGACACCCAAGTATCTGAGTGCCAGGATACCAGACCCCCATCTTGAGGTCGGAACCCCACTTCTGCCCAACTGCTCTCTGTGGCCCAGAAGCCACCTAGTCTGTGGAGATGGAGGCCCAGGCCTAAACTCCAAACCCCGGTCCCCCTCCGCTCCT